AAGTCTATGTAGGTTTCCTTGACCCGCGCCCCCGCCCACGTCCTTACCTCTGGCTAAGGGAGGTGTGTGTGGACAGGGTGAGACTCCCTGCAATAGACTAGAGATCAGCCGACTTGGAGTTAGAAGCAAACAGAGATACTAAAGGTCAAGGTGTACTGGAAGCCAGCGAAGAACCTTCATCCGGACACCAGGCTCAGACCCTGGAAAGATGGAGTCTAAGGGGTGCAAATGCACTCTGGTGTGACAGGGCCACACTTGCGACATTGAAGCCTAAAATCAAAACCCTCAGGTTGCTCCGAGGAGAAAGTTTGGGGCTGAGTCTGCCAGGCTAGCAACTGAGGGAATAGCCAGTGCTGAGCACATTTCTTCCTTCACCAAGTCCAAAACCAGTTCCTCTGTTCCCCATTATTTAAATGCAAACCAAGTGCCTGGAATTCCAAGGGGATCACCTAGAAACTGGGCTGTCTGCTCAACTCACTCATCTGAAAAACAGAACAGAATCCAGAGTCTTCAAACACCCAGACTATGAATCTTCTAGATGGGCAAAGGTGCAGGATGTGACCCTTAGCCAAAGAAACAAAAAAGCCAGAAGGCATTGACTCCAATATGACTCGGTGGGCAAAGGTAGTATATGAAGACCCTAAAGTACCAGTGTTTGACATAGTAGGTGCCCAATTAATGCCAGCAATCCATTCCCACCTGAGTAAAGTAAGAATAAAGGCTTTGAAATGCAGACTGGCAAAGAAACTGCTCTGGTCCGCACACCTTGAGTTCCTCCTGGAAGTGCCCATGGGAAGCGGCCATGGACAATGACAAGAGACAAATCGAGTCACTGCCGCCTAAGGCATCATGAGAGCCCCTCCATTCTCTGTGCCTTGCTCTCCCCGGGCATAAAATAGGGGTGCAGATAGATCATCTCAAAAGGCCCTTTCTCTCTAGGCTTCTGAGTCTGGCATAAGAACTGTTTTCAACCCAAGGTAAACACTGAGCTGAGGCCTGGAAGAACCAATGGGAGAAGGAACTGGATCTACCATTCATATGTTGGGGAACATGAGCTTGGATGTTAATCTCCTAGAAGAATGCTGGACTACAGACAGAGCCTGAGCTCCCTTTCCAAAGGAATCTTCTTGAGAAATGTCTCCTAGCAACCAGCAATCACACCCTTCAGGGGTCACTGCAGAAACACAAAGGCTCTGTGTGGTTGCCTTCTTCCAAAGTCCTCCCAACATTGCTTAGGGACCAACCTAGATGCTAATTTGAAACACAGAGGGCAAGGGGAAGGACGGCTGTGAAGGGTGCACATGCGAGCTAGCTTCCCAGTGGGGAGTGGGGATGGCAGACTTGAACTACCAACCCAGTCTTTACCAACTGGGCAACCTTAGGCAAGTTACTCAACCACTCTGCCATGGTTTTCCTATCTGTACAATGAATGAGGCTGCTAATTGTAGGAAGTGCGCAGTGCCGAGCTTCTGGGAGTGTTGGTTGCTCACAAGGACAACCCTTCCCTCAGAAGGAAGACATCTGGTCAAGGATGTGTATTAGTCAAGGGCAGTGCCTTACCACAGCTACCTGGGCAGAGTGCAGCTCCACGCTTATCTTCTTTCCATCGGACTACAGCCAATGACTGACAGGAAGTACACATTTCCAGTCCCCCTTACCTAAAGATAGAGTGCTATAAGCTGGGCATTGGAGGGTCATGCTACTCAGGAGGCTGAGATCTGAAGATTGGGGTTCAAAGCCAGCCCAGGTTCAAAAGTCCAGAAGACTCCTCATCTCCAATTACCACCGAAGACTGGAAGTATGGCTCAAATGAAAGAAGGCCAGCTTTGAGTGGAAAAAGCTAAGTGACAGTACCCAGGCCCTGAGTTCAAGCCCCAGTACTGACACGAAGAGGAAAAATAAAGGAAAGTGGAGGGGTATTGCTATGGAATCATTAACTCTCCCAACTCTCCATGGAGGCTGAGGCTAGATTCAATGGACTTTTCTCGTGCCCTCCACCTCCCTCCCTCCCTGACTCCTTTGCTATCCCCTGGGTCTGCTTTCCCTCAGGAAGTCACCAGCAGATTCCCTACTTCAGCTCCTTGATCATCCCCGCCCCTCAGGAAACCATGAAGCCCCAGCTGAAAAATGCATGTGAAGGGCTCAGTCGATTTCTGGTGCAGGGAGTGTTCAGAAAACGGACCTTATTGTCATCCTAATTCCCATTATTATTATTACCAAAATTTGAGGTGGCCCTTGGTAAGGTCTCCAAATGTGCAGCAGAGCTGGAGGCAGCCTTGGACTGATTGCAACTTGGTGGGCTGTTACCAATGAGGGAGGCCTAGCAGCTTCCTTTGTTTTCTTTTTTTTTCTTTTTTTTTTTTTTGGTCCGGTCGTGGGGCCTGAACTCTGGGCCTGGGCGCTGTTCCTCAGCTCTTCAGCTCAAGGCTAGCACTCTACCACTTGAGCCACAGCGCCACTTCCGGCTTTTTTTTCTTATGTGGTGCTGAGGAATCGAACCCAGGGCCTCAGGCATGCAAGGCAAGCGCTTCTACCACTGAGCCACCTTCCCAGCTCCTCCTTTGTTTTCTTAAACTAAAGTGTAGCTAATTATTTTTCTCATGATAAAAATAACATAACTTCATTGCAAAAAAAAAGCAGAGAGCTACAAAAATGAATGAGTAAAATTCTCTACCACTTGAGTAAAATCATGAGATTATCTGACTCATATCCCTCCAAATACGTTCCACATAAATTCAGGTCAGATCCATCTGTAACTTGTGTACACACATCAACATGCACAAATGTTTTAGTTCATATAGATATGTAAATACATAAGCAACACCAAACATATAGTATAATACTACATAGCACAATATATAACCAAATCTGTAATGTTATTTTCTATATACTTTTCAAAAACAGATAATATATATCTTCTGTATTAGTAAACATAGATCTATGACATTATTTGCGCCATAGATTGTCACATTTTGTACAGCTAACATAATACATTCAATCATCCTTATCTTCACATTCCTGTTATCACAAATCTTATTTTTTTTAATTTGTTATTGTTGAGGTGTGTATGTGTGTGCCAGTACTGGCCCTTGAATTCAGAACCTCAAATTTTCCCTTGGCTTTTTTTTTTCTCACATCTGGTACTCTAGCTCTTGAGCCACACCTCCACTTCCAACATTTTGCTGGTTAATTGGAGATTATAGCCTACAGACTTATCTGTGGTGGCTGGCACTGATCCCAGATCATTTAGAGTTCTACTTCCCGAGTAGGTAGGAGGTGTGAGCCCTAGCTTCTATCAATCTTTTTATTATTATGAGCACCCCATGCATATGTTCAGTTCTTTCCTTCAATTCTTGCAAGTGGAAAGGCACAGCTATTAGGATGTGTAATTTGTAGGGCTTTGGGCACATTTCCCTGCGGGGTAGCCTTCACCTGGATCATTCCTCCAGAAGCAAACTAGCGTGTCTAGTGTCTATTTCCCCATACCCTCTCCAACACTGGGTATCATTCTCTTTTTATTTTTGCCAATCTGAGAGGTGGAAGAGGATTCTCTGTTGTAGCTTGAGTGTGTATCCCCCACCCCCATCCCCACCCCCACCCAGGAGGCCACCCATCCATTTCGCTTACATTTACAGGCTGTTTTGGATTTCACCTACTGAGAACTGCCCTTATCTTCTCACTGGCAAGGCCCTTCCGAATTTCCTCTTTCCTCTTTTCTGCCCACAATCACAGTTCATGGGCTCTCCTGGCCTGTTATTTCACATGATCTCAAAGCTCTACTTCTTACAGGCTGGGCCCTCAGGAAGGCTTGCTTGTCCTCTACACTAAAGTCGGGATTAATGGAGATCTATGTCCTTGACCTCCAAGAGCCTCTTACCAAGTCCCTTCCCTTGGCCCCGTCCATGTACCATGAAGACGTCAGAAACCAAATCTGCTTAAAGAGAAGAAAAATAAGTCTGTTTTCTCCCAAATTCCAAATCCATTCAACAAACACGTTCCAGAAGTGATTATTAGCATGACTTGAGAAATCGTTGCAGAACTTACCAAAACATTCCTGTAAAATCCAGTGCGACTAAGCAGTTTAAAATGAAATGAACCTATGTCAAGATCCACTCCAGTGGCCCCAAGCTCATGGCCAGCCACAACCAGTGGATCCCCAGGCCTGGATGTGGGATCCCTTTAATAGAAAGCCAGGTGCTTATATCCCTGGGCTCACCAGCCCCAGTAGCTGCTTCTAGAGGGTTCTCCAACTTAATAAAGTGCTGACAACCATGCCCATTGTTACACTCTTCACCACAGCCAAGGAATGGGATCAGCCTAGATGCCCCTTAATAGATGAATAGATCAAGAAAACATGATACATATACATATCCACTAGGAAGAATGATATTACACCCTTTTCAAAGGAATGGATGGTCTGGGGGAAAAAATTATGTTAAGCAAAGTAAGTCAGGCCCAGAGAAACAAAGGATGTATATTTTTCTCTCATATGTGGAAGCTAGATATAATTTACAAACATACAAGTTTTTTTAAAAAGGGGGGTTGAGTACAGGTATATACAGACATACTAAACAAAGTGTGATATTTGCAAAGGAGAATCCAAGTTGTGTGATTCCTTAGAAAAACTCACAGTCCAACAAAATGAATGCCAGGAAAATGGCACTTGAAAGGTGGAGAGGTAAGGAGAAGGGGGTAGACAGAGAGAATGGGGGAGGGAATACCGTCATAACATTCAATGCCCATCCTACGAAACTAGGGAAATTGAGAGGAGAGGATGTGCTAGAAGGGGGGCGGGGAATGATCTAAGGGGTGACATCCGTCACGATGCACTGTATTCACAAACTGATTGGTTGAATAGTAAGTAACCCTTTTGTACAACTACTTCAATATAATAAAATATAGTTTAAAGGCAGGGAGGGAGGGAGGGAGGGAGGGAGGGCTGAGATCCACAGAGAGATGCACAAGAGTCAAGAACTTTGTAATGACAAACCCAGATAGCCCTTCCCTGTGGCTTCTAAGCAGGGCCTTGGGAGGCTAGAGCTGAAGTAGAAAGCTCCAGTCTCATTCCACCAGAGAATAGATTATACAATTCCTCTTTGGGGCCTGTCTGGAGTCATAGCTGAACTCATTCTCTCACTCTGCATTTTCACTCAAGGCTGGTACTCTACCCTTTCCTCTCCTCTCTTCTTCCTCCCTTCCTTTTTCCTCCCCCTCTCTCCCTTTTATATTGAAGAATAACATGCCTATAGAAAAAAAGCATCTCTGGGGCTGGGAAGGTATCTCAGTGGTAGAGCGCTTGCCTTGCATGCATGAGGCCCTGGGTTTGATTCCTCAGCACCACATAAGCAAAAAGAAAAAAGCTGGAAGTGGTGCTGTGGCTCAAGTGGTAGAGCGCTAGCCTTGAGCTGAAGAGCTGAGGGACAGCGCCCAGGCCCAGAGTTCAGGCCCCACGACTGGACCCAGGGGAAAAAAAAAAAAAGAAAGAAAAGAAAAGAAAAAAGCATCTCTCATAAACATGTCACCTAATAAATTTGAGAAACTGAAAATATCCATACCATCGCCACTCAGATCCAGAAACAGAACACCAATGGCACCCTAGAAGCTGGCCCTGAGCCCTGACCCATCTGCTCTCACCTCCATAAGTCAAACCAACCACTCTGCCGACTTCCCACAATTTGTTTTCCAATCAGTGTTCAGTAGTACCCAGTAGTACCCAGAAGAACAGGAATGTCAGATACTCATGGTGGGTATGTGAGGTGCTACAGCCATTCTGGAGAGTAATTTGGTGGCAGCCGCCAATGCTTAAAATCATCTATTGGTCTGCCATTACCATTTCACAGTGTCAGTCCTAGTGAAGTCTCTATGCATGTACTCAGACACCCTTAGCTCTTTGCTGAGCAGGCCGTTTCTTGTCCAAGGCCTCAGCTGATGATATAGTAGGGTAGTATCCTGGGCCTTCAAGGCCAGAGGGGCTAGATGAAGGGAGCTATAAGACCTTGGGGACAAGTGGAGTCTTCCTTTGATGGAAAACAGAAAGCCTTGCTACCAGCACCTGGTCTGAGAACTCAATACCAGTGTGATGTAAGTGGGCCCCAGGTTTTGGCAATAGCATCTTGCATTTTGAAGGAAGGATTACAGGGTTGCATTCCTTCCATCCCTGGTGATGGAGGAAGGAGAGGTGGCATAGTGTGGCTTTGTGAAGGTCTGGGATGGGCCTTGAGACTCACACTGGCTTGGGCCTCAGGGAGTGGGAAATGGGGTGAGGATGGGGGCTCGGAGGCCCAGAGATCTGCATTAAAAGCATTTAACCCTTAAGATTTAGCTAGAGAGGAGCCTTGCCCAGCCGATCTCACAGAGCAGAGCTCCTTAACCATTCTAACTCAGTCTCATCCTCTGAAAAATGGGATGTGGGCTCTTGTTATCTTGTGCACACATGAAGGTCCCTCAAGTCTACTCAGGAAGCTGTCACTTGTCAGCTGTAAGTCCACCTGGCCAGAGCTTCATCTTCCTTATGTGAAATAGACATCCTGCAAATCCCCAAGAATTATGAGAAGGCTCAGTTAAGACTATAATAGTCTTATTGCAGAGCCCAGTACCAGCCTGTACTCAGTGAGTATTCACTACAGTTATTAAGTTATTGCTATCTACCACACATCTGTATGCCAAGATCTGCATGGGGTATTGCAGACACATCTGCATAAATCACCATCGCTGTCCTTAATCAATTTCCCCAGGAACATTAGCACAGTGATTTATTCCAGGTTTCAGGATAAATACTCCAGGGCCTCTCCTTGTGTTCCTCAAGTTCAGAAATACTCAGCATCTATGTTTATCTAAGATGCAGTTCTTCTAATGCATCTGTTCCCCATCCATACAAACCATTGCTTGTAGAAGTGACCTCTATGTGTCCAAAAAAAAAAATCTAATCTATGTAGACAAGATATAAAAAACACAAAGTATCAACTGTTCCAATCATTATTGGCTCTACCTCCTGTAGCTACCCACCCAGCAAGACTGTTTCCTATCTCCATCTTGGAAGTGGTTATAAAGATGAACCCATATATAAAACTTTACTGAAAGCTAGGCATGGTGACATATACCTATAATCCCAACTACTCAGGAGATAGAAGCAGGAGGATCAAGAATTTGAGACCAGTCCAACACAACATCACAAACAAAAATAATACAAATGGCTGGGGGCATGGTTCAAGTGGTAGAGGTCTGTCCCAGAACCTAACATACTTAAGGCTCTGGATTCAACTCCCAATACTATAAAAATAAATAAATAAACCACGTCACTGAGCTGGGCAATTGAGATTCAAGTACTTTACAAAAGTGGCTGCAAATTGATTTTTTTAATGTTTAAAAGTAAAAAAAAAAAAAAAAAAAAGCAAGGTTACTTAAGTGTTCCTTAGAGAGCATCGTAGTAGACCATGGGAGACTTGTAATGGGTCCCTGATCACTGACACTTTTCAAACTGAGGCTTCCTTAGACTCTAGGGGAGCAATGGGACAAAGGAGAGAAAGATAGCAATATGCAATGGCCAGCACTCAGGGCAAGTAAGGAGGCACTGGTGGCCTCAGGAAGGACAAGAGAATGCAAATGTCTTTAGCTTGACCAAGACTGAGTTGTGGTCAGCAGAATTTGGGTATTTTTACATAATATACAATAGTACTTCCTTTAGGAATAGTATACACAAACGTTCACTGGCCACGGTTCTGATTAAGCTCACACCTGCCAGTTCTAAGTGGTGTTACAAACAGGAGCTGGCTGTAGTATCCACGTCATCCTTGGAAAAGACTATCAGTGACCAGTAATGCGTCAGTAGGGACCCAGGTGGCTGCTCAAGTGCCCTTGGCCTTGGCGAGAGGCTGTGCGTGAGTGGAGTGTCTTCTCCCTCACCAATCCCAGCCCTTGGAGGGGGAGAGGCCCCCACCCTGGGCACTGAGGTTTCACTGGTTACAAGTTGGCCTTATTTTCAAGTCCTGCATACAACAGGAGCCGGCAGGAGTACATGAGATGTCCCTTGAAGGCCAGGTGTGGTTGCTGCTCCTGGGACAATGCTGGCTGTGATACTGGCACTGCCCTGGAGGCGGGGCCCTGCTTCCCAGCTCCACACAGGGAGACGGGAGAAGGAGCTGGAGTTTCCTGGGCACCCTCTGCAGTAGGTCCTTTCTCTATGTCTTAGAATTTTCTTCCACAAATGAAGTGGTCTGTCTCTTTAATACCTTGTTGAAAAAAAAGACAAAAGAGGCTTAGCCAGTCCCTTTTCTATGTCCTTCCTGGTGGCAGAGCATAAACTGGGAACGTTCAGGAGAAAAGGCCCAGGCCCATCCATGTAACAAATTGTACCAGGCAGGGAGGGAGCAGGTGGATCCTAGCTTTTGGCTCAGGCTTTCTCCCTATGGAATTATCCACTTTCCCTCCAGGGTACCAGCTCAAGGGGCAACTATGGGGAAATGTCAGCTCAGTGTGCTGTGGTGTTCTCATGGATCCTACAACTGAAAAGTGTATGGGTAGAAACTAAGAAACCCTGAATGAAATATGGACTTTAGTTATGAATTCATAATTTGATGACATTAATGGCAAGGTGGACCTCATTGGAGAAAACAGGTCATCCAGGGCCTTCCCTGGGGGGCTAGATCTAGTCTCTAGCCCATTCCCTTCTCTCTCCACTTTCTGGCTGCAAGGAGGTGAGCAGCTTTGATCTATGCACACTCCCCTCCATGACACTCTGTCTCACCTCCAGCCTACAGCGACGGACCCAACTGTGGCTGAAACCAAGAGCCACGATGCATCTTTACTCTTTAAAGTTGCTTGTTTCAGGTATATTGTCAAGAGTGGTGGGAAGCCAACACATTTATTTTCTTTTAAGTATTAGTCTAGCAGGTGCTGGTGACTCATGCCTATCATTTTAGCTATGAGGAGACTAAAGATTATGGTTCAAAGCCAGCCCCAGCAGAAATGGCTGTGAGACTCTTACCTCCAATAAACTACTTTGAAAAATCTGGGACTGCTGCTGTGGCTCAAGTGGTAGAGTACTATCCGTGAGTAAAGGAAGCTCAGGGACAGTGCCCAGGCCCTGAGTTCAAATCCCAGGATCATCCAAAAAAAAAAAAGTATAAGCCTTGTAAATCCAACAAACACATGCACAAACACACACGCGCACACACAGACACATGCACACATACACTCACTCCAGAAACTAGTCAATTGTTTCTCTGAAGAGGATTTTGACCCTGGCTTTGACCTAGGACTTTATGAATAGCTCCTCCCCCATCCCCTCTTCGCAGAGGCTCCTCACCCCTCTTCTTTCTGTTCACAGAAAGAATATTCTCCTCAGGCCAGATTCCACAGTGAAAATGAAAAGCAGACACTGAATGGCTCAGGTAAGATCCACCTGGAATTCTTCAGGGGGTGAAGAGCAACCCTACCCCCTGAACCACCTCAGCCACCACTGTCTTACATTCCACTTTGCTCAACATCTGGCTTACACACACACACACACCCCTTTGCAGCAAGTTTTGGCACCAGCTTTTGGCAGCAAGCAAGTCACCAGAGCCTTTCATTCCTCATCTCTACAAGTGGCACAAATTGTAGCTTGATCACAGAGCCACGGCATGCACTAAATGAGATGAACTGTAGATTAGAATTTCATCCTTAGAATAAAGTACCAGGAGGAAACTAGCGCCAGTGGCTCACGTCTGTCATCCTAGCTATTCAGGAGACTGAGATTGGAGGGTCACAATTTGAAGCTGAAGCCTGGGCAGAAAATTCTGTGAGACCTTTATCTCAGATTATCCAGCAAAAAGCCAGAAGTAGAGCTGTGGCTCAAGTGGTAGAGTGCCAGTCGAGAGGGGAGGAGACAGAATGCTTTGGCTCTAAATCCAAGCCCTAGTATTGGCACCAAAAAGTAAATTTAAAAGTATGTAGTGTTGGTTCTGAGCCAGACACTATCTAAGCACTTTCTATATACAGATACTGAGCCAGTCAACTTACAGGAACACAAACAAGGGTCTGTGAGGGTAGTTACTGTCACACAACTATTAACTTGTGGGGCCAAGATCTGGGCCCAAGTATGAGGTTTCAGAATCCCACACCTGCTTGAAACGTCCAATAAGGCCCGTGCCCAAAAAGATAGAGAAGAGTAGGCGGAAGGCCAGGCGGAAAGTCCTCACGCTGCGTTCTCGCCTTGATGTTGGATGGCAAGGCAGAGCTGGGAAGCCTGACTCCAGACGCACCCGGTGCCCTGCCTGTGCCCGGCCTGCCACCTGGGCACGGACACCTGGCTCTGCCCCTGCCCCCTCCTCCCAGCGGTCTCAGTGCCCGCCCCTCGGCCTGGGCCACGGTAACCGGATCCCAGCAGGGCTAGCTGCTCTCCTAGTGCGCTCCAGCTCCAATCCCTCCGATCCCGCAGCTGGGCGCGTGGGGCATGGCGCAGAGGCTGGGCGAGTGGGCACGGGGGCCGGCCGAGGCCACGGGGCTCTACCGAGCCGTGCTGCTCAGGTCGGGTAAGTGGGGACAACGGCCATCGGGCCCCTGTCTCCTTTGCGGTGGGAAGAGAGCCAAGGGCTCAGGCTGAGCGCAGAGCGCAGACCTGGCCTCCGTCCCTCTTTCTTCTTCCCTTCCCTTCTGTCGTTCTTTTCGGTTCCTGCCCTTTCTTTCTTTCCCTCATTTCTTGCCCCACTCATGTTTTGGGGGTACCTGTCCTTGGGGACATTGCCTTCTTCCTGCGCCTAAGTGGAGGTGTTGGTCCCAAGCGCAGGAGAGCTGGAGATGGGGTGTGATGATGCTCAGAGATCCTGGGCGTTGACCAAGGACTGCGTGCTGTCTAATGCCCCCCTGGAAGGGAGCCCCCCCACACACACACACACTAGTCGTGGAGGAAGCATTGCCTGCAACTGTTAGAAAACAAACGCGCGGTGGTGTTGCTTTCGGAGGATGGGTGCAGTTGGACGGCAGGTGTTTCCTCTCGGAGGCTCTTTGTTGGCTCATCTGCCGTAGAGAGGGCTTTCCTGCTCACAGTTAGGGGCTTCTTTTTGGTTACAAAAAGTGAAGTAAACGAATAGATGGGCAGCAGCGTAAACATTGTGAGCAAGGACGGGGATGTGGCACAGGGTGGCAGGGTCTGGGTCAGGATCAGGGCAGGAGAGGACCCTTGGAGAAGGAGAAAAGGGCCGCTGGGGTCCTGCCAGGGGGAGTAAGCATCAGATCGGACAAAGGACAAGGGTTCACCGGCCAGCTGCCCTCGGCCTTGGCCAGGGAGCCTGCCTCAGCGGCAGCCCCCAGGAGCCAAAATGGGTTCAAGGCCCCTGCACACCTGCACTCTGGGACGGGAGTCTCTCATACATTCCAGGTTCCCTCGGCTCTGGGAAAGGGGAGATCCCTCCCTTCCCTTGTTTCCCCCTCCCCCACTCCCTGCCCCCGCCCCTCCCCTCCCCCTGCCATTACTAGCTGAGAACCTTGGAACAACAGTCCTCTAAGCCGGAAAACAAGAGCTGGCCTGAAGGCGCCTGGGGTGGGGGGGTAGGGGGGGGAGGAAAGCCTCAGCTCTGGCTGATCAGGACAGACAAGAAAGCCAAGGGCCCCAAATCAGGCGATGGGATTTCAGACCCAGCTGGGGATTAGCCTACACAGCGCTGGTGCTCCGAAACTGCCCCCTGACCTGTCCTACCAGCTCACAAAGCTGCGGGAGGGGTTCCTGGTCTGAAGACATTGAGTTTTCTCTAACCTGGACCCCAATGCCCTCATGCTGATACGCATGCACATCATACACACACACACACACACACACACACACACACACACACACACGATTTTTTTGGGGGGGGTATCGGTCGTGGGGCTTGAACTCTGGGCCTGGACACTGTCCCTCAGCTCTTCAGCTTAAGGCAAGCGCTCTACCGCTTGAGCCACAGCGCCACTTCCAGTTTTCTGGTGGTTTATTGGAGATCAGAGTCTCATGGACTTTTCTACCGGGGCTGGCTTTGAACTGCGATCCTCAGATCTCAACCTCCTGAGTAGCTAGGATTACAGGCATGAGCCACCAGCACCCAGCTTCTTCCTTTTATCTTTAGGCTCATAAAAAATAGCAGATGCAGCTACAAACCAGGAAAGAGGTAGAAGCCTCCTGGAAGGGCTGGGTGGTACCTTAATGGAGGAACCTACTATCAACACTTGTGTGCTGTCCCCATGGCACAAGGACACTGAATTGTCATTTCCATTTACTAGAAGAGGGCTCGAAGCCCACAGAGCCAGCACAGCTTGCCCCTGGTCTGCTAAGGAAACTTTGCCACCCCACCAAGGGTAGAACTCACATCCAAACTGGGTTCACTCACCTATGCCAAAGCCTGCCCATCCTCTGAGGATGATAATAATGGCAAGCGATGGCTGTTCATGGGTTTTTGTCACCTGCCAAATCCCACCAGCTCCGTTCACTCAGCTCATATTTATTGGCCTTCGTTACCAACAAGGTCCCACAAAAGGCACGGTCATGTACTATAAGGAAGGTGGATGCTCGTGTTAACCCTCATTGGAAATAGGTCCCATAGCTTGTGTAAGGCCACACAGCTCATCAGGGGTGACGCTGAGATTCAAACCTAGAGCCGTGGGCCTCTGGAACCTGTCCTCTGTTGTGTCACCCAAGGAGGAGCAAGAAGTGAGATGGGTGGGCAGGGATGGGAAGGGGAAACTGGGGGAAAGCGAAGGAGAGGGTGACATTGTCCCCTCCCCCCCAAAAAAAGTACTTATTACCTGACTCATGAAACAGTAACGGCTCTGTACCACACCTTAATAACAACAATTAAAAACCACAACAGAAGTGAGATGTGGGGGTGGCTTGGTGAAGGAGCAGTGGCACTGCATCCCTGCAGAAGTCCCCAAGGAGGGCGGTATAGAATCCAATCGAAGATGGCCGTCAGCTTCACTGATTTGCCCTGAGCCAGGCACCCAGTCATACTATACTATTAGAAAAAGGCCCAGCTCCTCTGGTAGGGCTCATGCTTGTTAGCCTAGATACTCAGGAGGCTGAGATCTGAGAATCTCATTTTCAATCCAAGCCTGGAGTTATGGCTCACGTGAGAGCTTTTACCTTGTGCAAAAAAAGCTAACAGATGGGGCTGGGAAGGTGGCTCAGTGGTAGAGTGCTTGCCTTGCATGCATGAGGCCCTAGGTTCGATTCCTCAGCACCACATAAGCAGAAAAAGCTGGAAGTGGTGCTGTGGCTCAAGTGGTAGGGCACTAGCCTTGAGCTGAAAAGCTGAGGGACAGCGCCCAGGCCCATAGTTCAGACCCCACGACCAATTAAAAATGAAATAAAATAAAATAACAGACAATGCCCAGACCCTGAGTTCACACAAACACAGAAAAGAAAAAAAAGAAAAAGGTCCATCACAAATTACTTCCAAGTGATTTTTAACCTTAAAGTGGCATATGCTGGCATACAGATTCGGGGAAGTTGAGAATGAAGAGGGGAAACCTAGCCGATAATTCCAGTAGGCACAAGCAGCCAGTTGTAACACTGGATGTCTGCTTTCCACTGTTGAGGCTGTAATCCCATTTTCCTCACTTCAGTGAAAATTTTCAATGCTCTTTCAGGGGTTAAGATCATAGCTGCCACATAGGCTGCTGCCCCACTCAGGGCAGCGATTTCCATAGCCAGTGTACTTCAAAAGAACACCCACCCTTTTTAGAGATGAGGAGACAGAGTTTGGAAAGTCACCTAGCTGTCCCTCAGTAAAGCCATGACTGGCATCTGAGTGGACACCAGACCCACAAGCTTAGTCCCTAGGCTGGGAGACTCTACCCTGTGGATAACTGTGCACCTGAAGTGCTACATGGCCTGTAGTAAAAGTCCACCTAAGGGGGATCCCTCCTCCCCACCTGGACCTCAGGCTGGGTTCTTGGTAGGGGAGCTCAGGACTCTCCAACCTGGACTATAGGGTACCTCCCTGGTGCCTTACTGCCTTCTGCCACCAGGGGGCAGGCTCAGCCTCCAGCCCTCCACACACCCTGGAGAGCTGCCCGAAAAGAAAAAGGGACACCAAAGAAATTCGAATCTCAGATAAACAACAAGTAGCAGTTTACTGTTCACACACACACAAAGTATTTTTTATACACACACACTAGCTCCACTGTCCTGCTGGTCTAGCTGCAAGATATTTTAAATGTGCACAAAGTAGGGGGCACCCAACATCTTTCAGCAACTCTGAGGCCATGTCATAGCAGCTGGGTTGGGAGCCAGGACTCTTGCTCCTTCCTGCCTTCCCTCTCCCCAGTGTTCACGCTTGAAGTCCCTGGCCAGGGTAAAAGCCTCCTCATTCAAACTTGTAAGGGCCACTCTCAGTCCATTCGTCATCTCTCCAGGGATCCCAGGACACGCTTTCCTGCCAACACAGCCTCTTTTCTCCCTGGGTCTTTCCAGCAGGGCATGGTTGGGGTGATTTGGAGGTGGAGTAGAGTTTGATCCTAGGGCTGTTTTGTGCCTGGCTTCTCAGAAACCTCATTGAAACCTTGAGGATGTAGACCGAATACAGGCCTGAGGACGAAGTCTCAAATTGCTATGGAAACTTTTTCTCTGATGTCTGCAGGCACATAAGAAGCAGCTCCAAGAGCCTGTCAGCTTGGAGAAAAGGGGACAAAAATGAAAGGAAAATTGTCCTGGGAGGTTTATTTCCTACAAATGGAAGCCCCAGCCCTCAATAAATACAGAAAATTTCCCTAGCTATTACTCCCCTCCCCCCTCCACACACACACAAATGCCTCTCCTGATCTTCAGGATGCTCCTTCCCTTTGGCATCTCTGGGCCCTGGAATATAACTCGGAGCTTTGCACTTGCTAGGCGGGTGTTCTACCATTTGAACCAAGCCACCATCCTTTTTTTGCTTTTATTTTTCAGATAGAATTGCACAATTTTCCCCCCTAGGGCCAGACTCAGACTGCATTTTCCTACTTCTGCCTCCATACAAGCTGGGATCACAGGCATGAGCTGTCATCCCACCTTTGTTCTTTGACGTATGGGTCTCTCTACCTTTTGTCCAGACTGGCCTCCAACTGAGATCCTCCCAGTCTCTGCCTCCCAAGTAGCTGAGATTACACATGGGAGACACCGTGCCTGGCCCCTGCACCTTGGTTCCCTATATAGTACCGATTTTTTGTCTTGGAAGTGAGGGCAGTTGCTGCCTGCAAACCTGTAATCCTCTCAATTTGAGTGACTCCAGAACGGTCCGCTGGCATGACCTGCTCCCCCAACCCTTTGCTTTAGCCCTGTCTCCCAACACGCTGTCAACATGGCAGCCACACAGCCTTTCTCCCTCAGACCCAGCTCATTCCTACTTGCAACGAGCTCTCCCGCTCCCTGAGACCTCTCCCTCTGCAAGTCTGTCCCATGACAAGGTTGTTCTTTTGGGTTTTGGTCAGCCGTGGGGCCTGAACTCTGGGCCTGGGCGCTGTCCCTCAGCTCTTTAGCTCAAGGCCAGCACTCTGCCACTTGAACCACAGCGCCACTTTCGGC